AATCGCTTATACTAGCTCAAGAAAATGATAAGTCGTCCTTAGTAAGGTTGAGATGTGTTTTTGAATGTGCGCCACTACCACACGGCAGCTGGACAGAGGGGCAATCCGGATCAGTGCTTAACCCTTAACTAGTCTCGTTCATGTGTTTCACAACGGGTTCCCTGAACCATGTCTCATGTTGCCGTGAAATGCACACCAATGGCAACTGTGCTTTTCTGGGCTGATCACGTGTTCAAATGTGAGAGGCGTATCATCAATCCACTGCCAGGTTTCTCATACGAAAAATGCTGATTCCTTTTCCCGCGACCGACATCTTGTCGTAGTTTGACGTACGTTGTGCCCAACGCGAGTAATTATGTAATCGCTATTGTCCTTACTTTTACTTTTAATTGATAGTTTTCTTTTTTCAGTGGTATTTTTAAATAAAATGGACCAGAGGAACAATGAGGACACATTCAGATAAATGCCACTGTCATGAAAAATGCTCGACGAAATGGGAAACAGAGATAACAGTCATGAAGACCAAAGTGTACAAGATAACGGACATAATACCGAATCAGAAACTAACATTAGTTAAATGACGCGTTCTGACGTAGAGTCTGTGAGCAATTAGCTGCAGTCATAACAAAAAGTACCAGCTTATTGTCCTTCTGTAAGCGCTGCAAACTGCGAATTTTGTACATTTACGAACGGAATGAAATCCATACTATATGCAATGAACAGCGACTTTAGACTGGTTAAGAAGCACTGCTATGCAAGCCCCGTTTGGTGGTCCTGCGGGCTATCGAAAAAACGTTAATGAAAATGCAGTTGGTACTTTTGCTGTCAAAAGAATGAAAGTATCATATGTACTACAGTAGCCCCGGATTCTGTGTAGTTTCACAGATCCAACAGGCAAGAAATAATAAATCCAAGATATTTCCAGTGAGTAGGACGAACAGGTAGTTTTGACTTACAAAATATAAGTAGATGTGTGCGTTCCACATGTGACGTACACGAATAGAAAAGAAATTTTTACGACACTCCAGACAGCTATAATGTTCTGCCAGTTTCAAGGAGTGACCCCAAAGTTTCCGTTACTTCAAAGTTGCAGTAAGGGACACCACACATGACTTGGGTCATATGAAATCCAAAATGCCAATATCAGGTCGCCTCGTAATAGGAGATATCGTCCGCTGAATACCCCCAATCGTTTCAGCCTCTACTCACATGGGAGATTGCGCATTCCGATTACGTATTTAGATGGTTGACGTTGAAATCGTTCCAGTGCATGAATTTCGCGTTTCAGTCACTGATGCCAAGTTTGAACTGCGTTTTCGACATAGATATAGCATAAGCGCTGAGCATCTCTAGGAAAATAGAGATGTATATCTTTTAGAACGCTCGTCGCAACAGACCGACGTGTTGTTTACTAGGTTTTGATGCTTTTTCGGATTGCCGGAAACAACCCAAGTTATGTTGAACCAGCACGCTTAGGTCGCGTTCGCCGGAAGCTCGCCGCAATACTTGCGTTCCTAGCGTGTACGAGTAGGTGCTCAGGTGTCGTATGTAAAGTACCTTGCATTTAGTCACGTTGAACTGTAGCAGATTATGGGTTGATCACTGATGTATCATATCTAGGTCACGAGGAAGGAAATGTTGAACGGCATTCGCGTGCATCATGCGTCATATTTTGATGTCAGTAAACAGTTCGAAACTGGAAGCGATTGTCTACACGAGGTCAACAATAAGTACTAAAACTAATCGTGACCCTAGAACTGAGGTCGGAAGCAAACTACACCCGATTTGTATGGGTCAGATAAGGATTTCCGGACTCTGACCACAAATTGTTGTCGAAGGAGAAAGTTGGCGATCCAGCTCAAGAGAGGGTCACCGATGCCATCACATTGGATCTTGGAAAGGAGTACCCGATGATCTAAACCATCGAATGCCATCGGAAAATCCAAGTAGATTACCTCAACATCCTCTCTAACGTCATCTGACTCGATCCAACTACTCCATTGTGTACTATTTCTGTCGACAGAAGCCGTGTTACTCCGAAGCAATAATGTTACTACTTTTCAGTTAACACACCAACAGGTCGTCAAAGATGGATTCCATTACCTTGAACAGTACAGGAAGAAGATATACTGCTTCCACCTTTGTGAATCGGAATTATTATATCAAGTTTCCACATGGCAGGAACCTGATTCTGAGCTAAAAGTTCTACCAGTCGTCTTGTTGCCACCCCCAGTACTTCTGGGCGAAAGGTATTGACTCGCCGGGGAGCTGTGGTTGCGCAGAGATGTCGGCATCTGCAATACAGCTTCAGAAGTATGCGAGATGTAGGTGTGTCCTGCAGCAAGGACAACAACAGCTGAAAGATCACCTAATGGTGAAACTCTCTTCAGTGTGGGAGTGTGTTACATCCGCATCACGTTTGCTACCGCTTCTGTAGCCGTTCTTGTTAGACTAACAGCAGTCCGGAGTAGAGGTATTCCGTGCCCTCAACTTGCGAAGGTAAGTGGCTTGTTTGTACAGCAGTTTGTGATCAGCGTGTAAGTTTTCGCCATATCCTGCTGGTAGGCGATTTTGTCTTCTCTGAGCAGTTGAGTACAGTGGTTACGTCGGGCTAACTAATTCTCCCATATATCTGGCAACGGAGATGATCTATACTCTTGCTATGCTGCGTTGCGTACTGTCGTTCATTTTCGGGTTCTGCTCTTTACAATAGAAGCGGTTTAGGCTCATGGCAAACCGTTGTCTCTGAAGCATTCGTAAACAGTTGATTGAGCCTGCTGACGAATTCTTGGCAGCCGACCCCCGGGAGGGTCTTCGGCGAGGAACCACTAGGTTGTGGCGCTGACAAGCTACACTAAACGGCCGTAGCCGTCGCAGGATTCTAGTGACGATATTCCGTATGGCAGGTGAAGCTTAACCAAATGACCGTATGATCACTGCGACCCAACGGGCGGTCTACAACCAATCCTTCAACCATATGTTCCTCGTTGATAAACATAATATCCAGTACAGATTGCTCGTTATCTGTCCTGAAAGGAGTGGTCAAAATAACGTGGCTGTTAAGTAAAACACTGGTTACGGGCTCCTACAGAGCGGCTTTGGAAAGTTCTCCGATCGCGTCAGAGGTTTCTAAACTATGTACATCGAAATAATTTGAGACACTGGCAGCCCGGGTTGGTTGCTCACCTGTTGATCGGTTCTCCGAGCTTGATAAAGTGATTACATACGTTTCGCCACCTTGCGAGGTGGCATCATCAGCGCGGCGATATGCAGTGTACAATCCTGTAAGTATTGCGGCGAGCCTCCCGCGAACGCGACAAGCGTGCTGGTTCAACATAACTTGGATTGTTTCCGGCAACGCGAAAAAGCATCAAAATCTAGTAAACAACACGTCGGTCGAGAACCGGCCAACAGGTGAGCATGTAGGTAGAAATCATCTACGATAAGGATGTGAGTGTTCCTTCCCTTTAGAGTGCATCTTAAAGCTGTCGCAAGATGGCCGTCCATTTCAGGTGTAGAGATAGGGGGTGTTATACCAAATCTGGAAGGTAGGTATCTCTGCCTTTTCATTGCATGCGACACCAAAGAGAATCGGGGACTGTGAGCCTGATTCCCCCACAGCCTCATACTCTAGGCCACTACGGTAAGACAGAATTACCCCTCCTCCCTTTGTATGCCTATCGTAACGCATGATTGACATGCCCTGTGGCGAGACGTCAGCGTCCGTCATTTCAGCGTGTAATCGTCTCCGTAACACCGATGATATCGCATGGTTTAGAAACTTGACAATCTCTCAGTTCGGTCAACTTACTGAAAAGGTCTGAAGCATTGGAATAAATGTAGGATAGTTTTTCGATCTCTCAGATGTGGAAGAATGTCCACCTATGTGAAGTCGGCCATTATTCGTCTTATTTTGATGGGATAATCACACATCGTCAGTAGCTTGATTTGACCAAGCTACGTCTCATTCGTCGTCCGATCCTACTACAGAATCACTTGACCTAGCGGTAAAGTAAAGTTCCTGCCTAATCGCCAGCAGGTTCGCTTTTTCAGCTACGCTCATGTCTGGCCTTTGCAAGGCTTCAGCAGCTTTTAACCGAACTTCAGATGGAAGGCCTTTCCGCCAACGTTCTAACAATTTTGTTGCTGTTTGTTCTGACTGAAACACGAGTTTTAGGATTTCTGGGTCACATCCTCTATAATGTGGTGATGGAGGTAGCATTTGAGCTATCGAGCAACAACGTTATCCACGAATACTGTTTCTCTATCGAACCGCCTCTGTTTCAGATCGTGATTTCTCTTCTCTTGACTATCCTGAGAAGCTAATCTTCAGAGAACACTCAATAAGTGATGTGAAATGTACGTCTTGAAACGGACCGATGTAACTAAACCGAACCAACATCTTCATTTAATCGGAATATCTGGAAATATAGGCTTTCGTACATAACCAACTACTGTAAACTGTCTGAGTGAGCCTAGATGTGACGCTAATTGCTACCCCTATACCATTCAAGTCCCCTACTAATCCTCTGTGAAATAAGAAACATGAGTTGAACGAAACCGGGATTCGAACGCTGGTCTTCAATGTCAACATCAGCCATGTGTATCTCTATTCACCCTTCTGACGCCTGAATATCGCTAATTAACCAGTTGTAGAATATTCTTGTCGCTGTACACAAAATACACCAAGAGTTCTCAAATCTTGGAAATGCACGCAATTGCTTCTTGTTGCATACATTGACCAAAATGAAGCGTCCAGTCACCTAAGCAATCCACCTGATCCCGAACGAATTTTGCTGGTGCGCGTCTTTCATTCCACCCAATCCTCCCCTGCCTATTTTGGAATCTTGGACTAGAGGACTGAAGCGACACTAGGCAAGACGTTATGATTGGTCACCTAAACCCAACTCTTTCACACCCTCTGGTTGTGGTGTCGTGGGATTGGTGAAGCTAATCGGCCAAGTAGGATAACAACTGTGAACCGAGATCATTGCATTGCTGTCACCACCTTCATCACGCCCCCCTTTCAGACAAGTCTTATGCCTGGATTGCTTGCATGTGCACACACACAATTCTCATGCCGCACCGAAGCACGATACGTACGTTTGGCATACACGCACTTAGAAAGACCAACCAGCTTCGGCGTACGCACTCCGCCCACGTCCGGGCGGAGCAGCAATCAGGTGTAGTGTGGCAAATGGTCGTTTTTGCCACAGCTGCTGCCTTCGTGCTCCGCCCTATCAAACGAAGCACGCATGGACAGCACAATCCAAGATGACCACTGCGACAGCAAACAGGTTGAGCCCGAGTAGGACAGTTTTGCCGCAGACGCTACCTTCCATTGAGTAAGTTCACGTTTTTTTTCGAGGCTACGACATATTACCACATCACCTATCTTTTGGACCGTATCAATAAGCTTAGGGATTTTGATTCTACGGCTGGTGGCAAACTGAACTAATTCTATTTCCTGGCTGGGTTTTTTGCACTTCTTCGGAGGCGAAGTTCGTGTACTTAAGGACTGACGAGAACAATTGTGCTCTTAGTTGTCCCGAGCGAATACGTGTTTCGGTTGTCATTCAGCATGAGATTGAGCATAGTGGGATTTATTGCACCCTGCTATGGTATACTGTAACCGTGGCAATGCAGCAGAAATATAATGTGGTGCGGTATTCGTCGAATTATTAGTTAGTTGCGTCTAGGTTGAGATTCCAACACCAGCCCTCAATGCACTTCCCCAGTGACGGGACATCACGACTGTCGCCCGCTTGATAATCCAGGTGCGGCAACCAAACTTTCGTCTATGGTCATATTTGGTCTACCGGTATCATTGATTTATTTATTCCAATCTGGGATTAAATTCCACACTTACTTAATCTGGTTTTCGAGTAACCACTCAGTGCTAAAGTAGATTCAAATGTTTCTCAACCACTCAAATGCTGATTCCCACGACCCGCCTGATTGATTAAATATTAGGTCCACTAGAGCCGAAAGATGACTCAGTGCTGTCGTGGCTGAAGCTGCAATCCCTTGGTAGGTAACGTTTAGAGTAACTGCGTCACGATTAACTGCAACATGTGAAAATTTTCTGGGCAGCCGTTTCCTCCTTCTGAGGTCTCCTTTCGTCGACTACTCGCGAAGACCAGTGAACAGTAGCGTCGTTCATTCGGTCTGATCCCTAGAAAATGCCAAGCTGTTCCAATGGGATCGTCTCACACCATCCTGCATTTTAAGACGAATAGATGATTTCCATGTCAGTGAGGGTGTCCTACGGAGAGTTTTCAATGGGTGTGAACTGTCTACCCTACAAGTGATATCGGTGTAAACAACGCGGAATTTCAACGAGTAATCTTCTCATAGTAGGCGTCAATGATTTTAACGGACACAAGGGGAAGTCTTAGGCACTTAAACAACTGTCTCTTATCTATTTGTAAGAATGTGCCTCACACATTTAACTGATCATTTGGAAGAACAATGCCAATGGTCTTTCGGTTGTCGCAACAATCAGGAAGTTTGAAATAGTGTGGGGAATGGGAAATTGGTTAACTATTTAACGAGTGAGCTATACCACCGAATTAGTGAATAATTGGCCTTCTAAGACTCGCAAATGCAACTAACAAATCCTACACAATCTGTTTTAAAAGCTGCCCGCATCTCCGTATTATAATGGAATCGCCATCGTGTTCGAATACGTGCATTCATTTTTATCCACCTTGTTTGATCGCTGTCCATATGGTAGGAACTGACTGGACCTGAGCTTGGGTTGGGTTTTATTTCCCAAGATTTCTCAGAACATCTTTACATACAGTAAGACCTAACGATTAATCACCACCTTACCCTATCTATATGAGCCACACACCGGTTCCATCTACGCTCAACCGGCAACCTCTCCCTTACTCTTATCCATGCTTGGCGGCATCCGGTTCCAGATTTGCCTGTCACTGCGGGCAGCCACAGGGACAGCCATACGACTCAGCTTCATACAGATGCAGTAATGACCCATATTCTTGGTTGAATAAATTCTTAGTGATTATAGCGATTGGAAGCACTACGCAGCCGGTACCCAATGTTCGTCCCCTTTATGATTTCACTGTCCATTTTTCAGTTGATTTCTCTGCATCCTGATTCACAGGATTCCTTTTTCTCATTGGTCCATACCTCAGTGTTCTGTTTATTGACAAACTGCTTGAGTCTGATGCCTTTCAACCAGTTACTTGACCAGTGTGGAGTCAAACCGCAACACGTTTTGCGTTTCTTTGCGTTTGCATTCCACTTGCTACAAGGCACTTTGTTTCCACACTGGTGTCGCTCCGCGCCGACTTCTAAACCGAATTTTTCTACTCAAAAACGTTCACCACGTGCATGTTCCGACGTGCTCGTTCACACTCCATTTGGTTCCTGGATTGCGCGGTGGTGGTGGTGATTGAAAGGATGTGCATCTCTAGATCCAAAGGAAGTGGAAGAACACGAAAGGAATCAGCATCTCTGTCCAAATCGCATCTCCGCAGTGCGGTAGTCATCGATCTGGTCGCTGTTGTCCCCATATCCGGACAAGCGGAAACCCACCATCTGCTCACCGTCCAGCACCCAAGAAATCACATCTACTGTGCTCACTAAGTGCTCACGTGTGCGCCTGCGAGTGGGCGGGCACACCAGGTAGGTGCGACTACGCAACACTCAGCATCGTAGGCCGACATGACCATTCCCATTAGGGCGTTGGAAATGGTGACTTCAAAATGTTGCGCAGCTATCTGAGCACAGCAGCAGGGGCTTGGCGAGATCGATTGCTGAGTTGTCTGAGACGTTGGCCCAACTCTCACCTGCGATGCAGTCGTGACGCTGATCGGTTGAAACTCCCGTCACAATTCATCCGCAAATGCGTGTAATTTGGGCCCTAGACTCGTTCTTTTCGGTAATGATGTCTCGCCTCGGTAACTCCAAGTCTTCATGCTAACAAACCTTACTGCATTCGGCCTTCGTTAGTGGGTTAGCGCATATGTTTCATGTCGACTCTTACGCGTATCCACGGTAACGCCAAGATAATGCTGATTTGGTTTGGTCTCGCTGTATCGGTTACTATCCATGTAACCTCGACGGAGAGCGCCGTCGGTTGCGGTCAACTTAGCGCACAACCTCTTGATCATGGCACTAGGCTTATTAGAAGTTGGAGCGAGAGCGATGCAGCCTACTTTATGCGCACTGGTTGTGATGGCTCGGGTCAAATATTGCCACAGTTTCATGCTGCGTCCCCGGGCTGTCGCTCGGAACGACATTGTTTCGGGACATCCACAGGTGTCACTCTTTGGGTCACATTCTTACTGAAGTGACCGATACTCTTGCGGCGCACTGTACTGATTAGACCACAGGGGGTCGCCACGTGTACCAACTTGCTCGCTCACTCATCAAAATTGGGTCACGGGTTTGTGGTAACCTCACGCCAACGATCCTTTATCGTCCGCCTTCCTACTGTGCTCAGATAGCAGAGGTTCTGAATGCTACCAAGGTAACATTGGTCTTCGTGATGGTCCCTAGAACATTTGGCCAAATTTGGCAGTTCTGCGACCCCGACATCTATGTGGTTCAAGTGACCAGCACTCAAGAAGGATGGATGTGCCATCATTGCGATGGCGATGGTGGGTTGTTCGGTTTTTGTAAGCTTTTCAGTATAGGGTGAAAATCACCCATACTTCAACAGACGATGTACACTAACGGTGGCGGAATCGGTGTATATGGAATATTGCGTTTTCGGCGGTATTTCCGCAGCCACAAAGCACCCCTCAGTTGACTAATCTCATTCTCCCCCAATTATGGGCTATAAATTAAGCATTCAAATCGGTGTCATTCAGCAAGACTGCCTCAGTAAGATGCCTCTAGGCCTTTACACTACCATTGGAAGCGCCCATGAACCAGTACAAAATCAAACGGCTTCTCGCTATCTCCTAAACGGCATTGTCCTATTCGAACGTAAACAGAAGCTAGTGCACAAGTTTTGAACCAACACAATTCTTCCCTCCACTCATTGTCACGAAAGCGCAGTTGGCTATCGCAGAGCTTCTTATCACCACCCATTTGACGCTTTTTCCCCTACTCGACTGTCATTTGCCGCGATGGTCACATATTTGTGACCCCAGTATCATCCATCTTCCAGCTGGTTCTCTGCTTCCGTAACTCGATGTTCTCCAACTGCGCATCAGCTCCGTGGGGTCAACTTTTACCTCCGGCTTAGAAACAGTAAACCGCATTTGACTGACCTCCTGTTTCTATAGTACTTGTAGCACATCTACGCTTACAGCTCATAGGCGGTTTGCGCTGCACCATATACCACATATCCAGTGGAAGCGTCGATGAAGTCAACCATCATGCGCAACCGGAGGACCAACCGTTGTTACAAGATCATCTCACGCGCTACCAAAAGGCGTTACTCAAGTGTAAGCGAATCCGCGTATCTCGCTTACTTCAGGGTTATGTCAAATCCAAATATTGTCAGTAGTACTTGTTATACCAGGCCGCAGCGCATTTTATGCACCTATAGCCGGTGTACCATTGGTCTCTTATTCATTCGTGCAGGAGTGAACTGGGTGTTATATACACTCTTTGGTGGGTCCTAGCACTTCTCAGTATGGAGTCACGTACTCTTTGCACTATTAGGAAGATGGCGTACTTAAACACCATACCAACGATTTGTAATACTTTGGCAACATCAATAGAAGTGACAGCACTGGACTAGCAAGCTCCTTGTCAATAGCCGCATTGTATCTAGGCCCCTCTAACATGGTAGACAGAGATAATCGTGAAAGCGGGTGGTTACATAAACTTGATCTTCCAACAGTGACCTGACCTCAACAGTGCGACACAGCACACCCTTGACATCGGATTCTCCGTGATGTTCTACACTTCACTAAGTTTTCTGGCTTGCACTGGATCGGTGGCGGGGTACCGATCAGCTCTGCGGTGGCTCGAGTGTCGCCAGCTGTTTAGTTGGATCTCCAAAATTCCGGTGGCTATGTAGCGCAAATGGATGCGTAACTGTCATATCAACAATATTTGACTAGTTGATGGATTTTAAGTGCTACGACAAGTTCCATGCTTGTTTGCACAATTCAGGTTGAAATTGCCGAACTGGAAATCAAATCCGCAACGGAAACCTTGCTGACTGACTGACGCATTTATCTCCACGCACCGAGTGGTACCACAAGCTCTGAAGATTGCTGTTGTCCAATAATAGACGAAAATGCTGCTGTATCACATCCCATTCCAAATTTCAACTGCCCATCCCAGATATCTTGCACTTGCGTGCTTGTATATAAGACATGTTTACTATTCGCTGCTCGTTTTCATCGAAGAGCAT